TTCTCTCCGCCCTGAACATCCTCTTCTCGTCATCAGAGTCTGAAGCCAGCTCGTCCGAAAGATACTCATTGACCGTTGACCAGCCAAACTCGCTCTTATCGGCCATTTTAATCACCTTTATCCTCTTAGAAAGGACCTCAGTACCTGAGTCCAAGGTGGCTTTAACCTTGTCGCACGATTCTGCTCTCAAAGCGTCGGATGCCTCGTCAACTTTGTCCAGCACTTGAACGGCATGGTCCAGCTGCAGTTAGTTTCCCTTTCTCTTACGGGTATAGCTTTCTCGACGGGCCTTCTTAACTGCATGCTCAACAGTGGAACTATTCTTTTCAGAAAACCGCTTCGCGAAACCGCCAAGACGATCCACGATAACCTGCCGGTAAGGTTATCGGTTAAAGCATCGATAGACTCGGCAACGGAAGCCTTAATTAACCCAGCTGATTGCAGTGGCTGAGTCGTCATTAACGGAAACGGTCGGAAACTGCTGCTGCCGCTCGTTGGACATAGTGAACACTAAAACGAAACTGGGGGTTGTAGGCGTTCACAAGCCCGAAGGATGAATACGAATGAACGAGACACTTATATAACCGAATGCAAACTACTTGACACTACTAAAATACCGAAGGACAAACAGACACTATGACACACCTAATTAACCGTGTAAGAACGTGCAGAAAACAAATATCTGCTAAACTGCGTACCGCAGATATTTTTCAGTGCATTCTCCTTGAATTAATTAATGCAGATATCAAGAGTTGGGATTGTCTCACTCGTGCTGTTGTCTAACTTTGGATTTGCTTTTGTTTCTAAGATTTATCTGTAGCCGTCTTTTCATTTTTGGAGCAGGTTCCAAATTATCATAATTATATTTTCGTCTGTGCTTTTGCATGTGCCTGATTTGATGAAGGTCCATGGCCATGCAAGACAAAAATTGTATTTCATAGTGAACAATACCTGTTTTAAGCTTCTTTGTAACAATATTAATGTTAGAAATAGCTTGTTCTAATGATGGTTTACCACTTATTTTCATTTGTTGTATTGCAAGTTGACAAGTATCTTCATAGGTCAATAAGGAGAACATGTACTTTGCTCTGACTGTTTGTTGAAAAATACAAGTAATACCTAACAGTAACTTGCAAGCCACTATAAAAACCCTGTATTTCCACTGTAGTTGTTGAAAATTAAGTTTTCCAACTTTTTTTTTATACTTTAAACCACTGGACAACATCCCATAGCTTTGAGCTTTAATTTGGACTGATATCTCAACTCCACAAATATTACATGTAAGACTCGTGTATAAATCTTCCCTTTTTAGATGCCTGTTGATGCCCATCTTATGATATAATTTATTTCCTA